AAAGGTAAGAGAGGAGGAGAATAATGAAGAGTGAAGCCTGGTGGAATATGATGGTTGCCACTAATGGCATAATTCTTCTATTCAGATGAGACTACACCAACTTCTCATGGTATAGATGGCGACCCTGAGTTGATTCTTACTCCAAGTGGGTGCCACATATCCTGTTTGCCCAGGGCAGTCATAACTTATACCTATTATCCTTATAAAATTAACTTCTTTCACTCTCAAAATCATTACAGATTCAATGAAAAATCATACGGTTATACAGATTAAGCCATTTTCACCCCAAAGTGAAGCATGCCCATAAATTTGGATATTCAGCATTCTAGCCACAGAAAGAGGGCATTGATTTTGCTGCTGTTTTTTTTTGTTTACAAAGCTCCAGTTGATTAGCTTCTCTCTTTTGGATTGCCTGGATTATGGTAATTGAATAAAATATAATATATGAGGAATTTACGGAAAAATGAAATGGGCCATTCTGAAAATTACATTAATCTAATTGAGTATCTTTAAATATAACACATATTCCAATTGGTCAAGAAAGCTTAATCTGAAAGTTTATAGGAAGCAACTGAAAACATGTGAAAGAGTAAAAGTAATGGAGTATAAGGTTGTATGGGCAGTTGGGATGGCAATTAGGAAATGTGAGAGAATGATGAACCACACACAATGCCTTTTAGATACCTGCCAATTATCAGCCTGGGATCCAAGCGCAGGTTTTGGCACTAAGTAAAACCTACTTTACTACTTCTGTTCGTATTTATTCTTTAAATATACTTGGACAGACAAAGTGAAGAAAGCAGGATCTAGGTTCTTTTGATACAGCCCATCTAGCACAGGCAGGGTGACATCGCAAGCACGCTTAAGGAGTAACACAATGGTTAGGGGCATGAGTTCTGGAGCAAGACTGTCTTGGGTTCAAAATGTAGCTCCACATGTTACTGACTATGCAACCATGGGTACGTTACTACACCCGTCTCTCTGTCTGTTTCTCAGGATCCCCATGGTGCACAATTGCAGGGGAGCACTGCTCACCTTCGAATCTGGTTCCTTTTGTGGAAAATGGAGATAATTTTCAGGGTCTCACAATTGTTGTATAGATTTAATAAATGAAATCAGTCAAGTACTTTTAGTGCCTGGCAAACATTAACAAATATTTGCTATTATATAGGTGCACAAAATTCGTCACGGATAGGGTCCCTAGGCCTGGCTGATGATCAGGGTGGATCTGTGGGGTAACCGTTGGGGTGATTGGGAGGCCCTTCTGGCACCCACTTTTCTGGCCTAGGACCTGAGAGCTGGGGGCAGCACCTGCATTGAACATCTGCCCCCTGGTTGTTAGTGTGTGTCATAGCGACTGGTCATTCTGCTATTTGGTCAATTTGCGTATTAGGCTTTTATTATACTGGATATAAAAGCCTAAGCGACCAAATGACCAGAATGACCAGTCGCTATGATGCACACTGACCACCAGGGGGCAGACTCTCTATGCAGGAGCTGCCCCCTGGTGGTCAGTGCACTCCCACAGTAGGAGCACCACTCAGCTAACCAACAGGTGCCAGATGCTGGGCTTATGGCTGGTGAGCTCAGCTGCAGCAGCATTACAAAGTGGCAGCAGTGGCAGACAGAGGGGCTAGGATGAGCGGGAGCGGCCCAGTGCTGGCCTGGGCTTGGGTCGCTTCACACACTACTCCATCCCTCCAGGGGTGCAGGCCAGGCTGAGGAACCCCACTGGCACATGAATCTGTGCACTGGGCCTCTAATTCTAACAATAATTATTACAACTACTATTATACTACAACGAACATTTCAAACATCAATAGGCCCCCTTTTACCAATAGCTACTGGAGCTTTGTTGGTGAAATATATAAGATACCCAAGAATCACAGGAGAACTGGGGCTGAAAAATATGACAAAGGCACATCAAGACACCTTTTTACAGTTGGTTAAAAATTATCCTGAAAGTGTCTATGCAAACATGCCTTAGGATCAATCACATATTTTGATATCAATAAATACAATGTATTACATATTAAAGCAAATGTTCAGAATTGAAAAGGAAATTATAAATCACAAATTCTACTTCTTTTACCGAGAAGGAAATAGGCCATTCTGAGAGGTTGACAAGTTGCTTCCTTTTAGAGTTCACAATGGCACTAGAATCATGGGAATGAGAAGCCCTGGACTTCACCCTCTTTCTCTAATGCTTTTCCCCACTTCCTCCACAGCAGCTTTCCCTTTTGTCTGGCTGCTGAAAAGTAGCTCAAACCACTTCACTTAATCTTTATTAAGCATTCAATTTACAGCTCTATAAGGGAATATAATGGGGAAAAGAAAAATATAATTTTTTTTCTCATTCTGAAATATTCTGCTTTGCCAGAGAGATAGCAAAACGCACATGCACATACACACAGACACCCAGAGTACTACCTTTGAAGGCAAGAAATACCAAATTTAACTAAATTTTTAGAAATGATATAGGGCTAGAAAGGGGAGGATAACTGTAAATAATTTTATTGTTTACCCTTAAACATACCAATCACTTCTTCCCTTGAACAACTTTATCTTCTGTTTGACAAACAACTATACTCATATTGGAAACTTAGTAAAAACTCCTTAGTGATTTCATTTGGAAACTATAACCATACAACTAAGATGTTTTTAAAATAAGCCTATCCATATGTCAGATAAAGTTCAGAAACTTTTCATTTATTTGTTTGTTTGTTTAAGGCAGTGTTTCCCAAACTTTTGACATATGTGTACCCCTTCTATAATTTTCGTAACGCTGTACCCCTCGTACTTATGAGAACGTAGAATTAGGTGCAGCTAAGCACAGTGCATATCCCCACCAAACTCTGGTGCAACGCGTACCGCCACCAAACTCTTCCCATACCCCTGGGGGTATGCATACCATACTTTGGGAAATACTGGTTTAAGGTATTACAAATAGTTGTACATATGTCGCTCTCTCTCTTTTTCTTCCCACTGCCTCTCTTAATCTCTTCTTTTACAGAAATTCTTTCTATTCTGATGTACTTTGGTTAAGGACCAGAAACCTAACTCCCTTAAATGAGACCCCAAAAAAAATTTTCCAATTACCACTGTAAATAAATCTTTCAAATACAAATTAATTTCAACTGTACAATGAATTCTAACTTAATGGATTTTACTTTTGCTACTTCACTTCATTGACCTACACATTTGTTTAAGCAATAACTTCCTTTCTGGTTTCAAAACATAAAAGAATTTTTCCAATTAACTTTCAATTCTTCCTAGAACCTCTATTTAAAAATATATTATCTGGTCGGGTGCGGCCAGACCTGGAGCAGCGGCTGCCAGGCTGGGAGCGGCCAGGCCCGGGGGAGCAGCCGGGGCTGGTGCGGCCAGGCCCGGAGCAGCGGCTGCCAGGCTGGGAGTGGCCAGGCCCGGGGGAGCAGCCGGAGCTGGTGTGGCCAGGCCCGGAGCAGCGGCTGCCAGGCTGGGAGCGGCCAGGCCCGGGGGAGCAGCCGGGGCTGGTGTGGCCAGGCCCGGAGCAGCGGCTGCCAGGCTGGGAGCGGCCAGGCCTGGGGGAGCAGGCGGGTCGGGTGCGGCCAGGCCCAGAGCAGCAGCAGCCAAGTCCAGAGCAACTAGGTCGGGAGCGGCAGTGACCAGACCCGGAGCAGCTGTTGTGGAATGAACCAGAGCAACAGAGGCCAGGCCCTGAGCAGCCAGGCCCAGAACAGCTTGCTCCTTGCCTGCCCCTGCCCCACGGCAGCTTCTCAGACATGGCTGGAAACTTTCGTGGGAACTTGAGGGTCTGCTGAATCAAGTGATGAAGGCTTAGATCTGGATGTGTTGAGTTAGTATAGGGCTGGGGTGTTGATCTGTGAGTGCCTTGGGTGGGGCCTGGATGAGGCTGGTGGACCTATCGGGAAATGTCTTTTGTATGAAGTGTATCATTGGGCATGTGGAGGTATTATTGATTTGAGAAAATGCTAAGTAACTGATTTACTATCTGAAAAGGGATTTACTATTGGGGAAAGGGAGGGAAGAAGAGACTGAACATAAACTGCACCTATGGATGAGGACAATGGGGGATGGGGAGGGGGCGGAGGGAGGGGTGGGAACCTGGTGGAGGGGGGAAGAAATGAGGAACCTTTGTAATAATATGAACAATAAAGATTGATTAAAAAAAAAAAAAAAAAAAAAAAAAACTTAGGTTCTTAGAAATGTAACTAAAATAACGGCAGTGAAAATAGTAACTGCTAATGTCCGTTGTGATATATTCATCAAATAGATTAATTTCTCTAAAAAAAAAAAAAAAATAATAAAAAAAAATAAAAATATATTATCTTTGAAACTAGAGGCCCGGTGCCCGAAATTTCATGCACAGGGGGCGAGGGGGTGGTTTCCTCAGCCTGGCCCGCACCCTCTCGCAAACCAGGATCCCTCAAGGGATGTCTGACTGCCGGCTTAGGCCTGCTCCCTGGGGAATTGGGCCTAAGCTGGCAGTCAGACATCCCTCTGGCAGCCCAGGAGCCCTCAGGGGATGTCTGACTGCCGGCTTAGGCCTGCTCCCCACAAAGAGCGGGCCTAAGCCACAGTTGGACATCCTTAGAGCTGCTGAGGAGGCGGGTGAGGCTCCCACCACCACTGCTTTACTCGCAGCTCAGTCTGTGGCTGAGCAGAGTTCCCCCTGTGGGAGCGCACTGACCACCAGGGGACAGCTCCTGCATTGAGCATCTGACCCCTGGTGGTCAATGCATGTCATAGTGACCAGTCGTTCCACCATTTGGTTGATTTGCATATTAGGGTTTTATTATATAGGACAATTGGAATGCATTAACAAAAACTGATTCACAAGTCCCTAATACTATAATCAGTTTTTACAAGTCTCCTAAAAATGTTCTGCATTATCAGTTTTTTTATTCTAAGATGTCAATAATATGGAAACATTTTTGATATAACAGAACATTTAATTACATCATTTTCCCTTCAACACACAAGTCATGTGATGATGATTATATTGGCCATTTCCATTGGTTGGCAGGCGGTTCTTCCACTAAAGGCTCCCATGGCTTCCACTGGATCATTTTTCTCGCCAGACTTAGTTCATTTTCAGCCTGTTAATGACATTTTAAAAAAAAATCATTTGATTATACTGTTTAATAGACATTTATCATAGCTAATAACTAAAATATAACTATTAGAGCTACTACTGTCATAATAGTATCTAATAAGCTATTCTACCAAATGTTAATATGAATTGCCTTAACTATCACAGTTATGTAACTGCCAAGAGTAAGAAAGATTTTGATTTCTTCTATTTGATTAAAATTTGCTATTAGATTGTTCAAAAGTTTAATTGATGAGTTTTTTTTTTAATCTTGTCTATTTCACCATTAGACTACAAATTCTTTAAGAAGTAAAGTATGTCTCTTCATTGATATCAATGGCTTTCAAATTTTATTTTACCATGGTCCAGAGTAAAAACAAAAGAAAAAAACAAAATTTTACTAAGGGACCTATAATACATACATATAACTCAAAGAAAAAAATATTACCTTTATTAGCTGTGATACACTATATTCTATTGTATTTTTTAACAGTTATTTTTATTGATTACAGAGAATATGGGAAAGAGAGAGAAAGAGAAACATCAATGATAAGAAAGAATCGTTGATCAGCTGCCTTATACATGGCCCTGAGCCTGTAACTCAGCACGTGCCCTTGGTTCATAGGTCAAGGCTCAACCACTGAGCCATGTGGGCCAGGCTCTATTGTATTTAAGTACTAGACACAACCCACCTGTCTGACCCATAATCACTTGAGACCAGATTGTAAAATAGTGATCCGTGGAATGTAGAATACATAGGCACACAAAAATATTTTTGATTGAACTAATTTTCCTTAATCAGATTGTCACATTCACTTTTTCCTTTCAAACACAATTCATAACACCTCTAACAAATATATTTTATGTATCTTATTATTTCACATTTTTCCTAGAACAAAGAAACCTATGACAACTCTGGCCAACTTAGAACACTGTTGGACACTTGTCAGGATGTCATGAAGGAATTGAAAAGAGAGTGCTTAGATTCATCCTAACAGAAGCTATAATTCTAAAGTGGTTCAAAACAGCAAATCTATGTTTAATAGCAATAGTCTAAAATGTATACAAAAACAATGAGTTAAATAATATACTAAAGGAAATCTGGACGTAGAAGTATAAGGCAAAAATGAGAAAACAGTATAAATACTGATTTAAAATATCCCTTAGGATGGCTGTTTCCCTGATCTGGGTCTCTGGAATACTCATGCTTTCTCTATGCCTCAAAGCACTGTATTGTGTGGAGGCTGTCCAGCCCTAACCATCAGTGAAGCCAGCCTTATTTCAGAGAGCTGGATCGAGTTGCATACGGCCCTTGTAGCCCACTCCTTCCCTCATCTCTAGCTTATAACACACTACCCTTTCCTCATCCCTCTCTTACTATTGCTCTAGAATGGGCTGTCCAATATGGTAACCACTATCTACATGTGACTACTGAGTGAGCACCTGCAATGTAGCTTAGTTAAAATTCAGATGTGCCGCAAGTATAACATATACATCAAATATTGAAGATTTAGTATAAAAAAAGAATGTAAAATATCTCAATTTTTTATACTTACGTTTCAATAAATTTTAGGTATATTGGGTTATATAAAACACTAGAGGCCTGGTGCATAAAAACTCATTCACTCGGGGGGTGGAGGGCATCCCTCGACCTGGCCTGTGCCCTCTGGCAGTCTGGGACCCCTCGGGGATGTCCACCTGCTGGCTTAGGCTCGTTCCCGAGGGAGCCCAGGAGCCATCGGGGGATGTCTGACTGATGGCTAAGGTCCATGGGGAGTGGGCCCAACCCATCAGTCAGACATCTTAGCACTGCCAAGGAGGCAGGAGGCTCCCGCCACCCCTGCTGCGTTTGAAGCCCTCAGCCTGGTTTGTGGCTGAGCAGAGATCCCCCTGTGGGAGTGAACTGACCACTAGGGGGCAGCTCTTGCATTGTGCGTCAGCCCCCCAGTGGTCAGTGAGTGTCACTTCACCTTTAGGGTCAATTTGCATATTACCCTTTTATTATATAGGAATATTAACCTTATATTGCCCATGAAAATGTGCAAAACTGACTTAAAATTATTTAATGTATCATGAGACTACAATTGCTTGATAAATTAATTTATCAACTAAAGTCATGATCAAAGAGAAGTCAGGTAGAAAAGATTAGGAAGAGGACAATCCAATACTCTACATCTAGTACCATATATGCTAATGAACAGAAAGGCCAGGAAAATAGGCCTCTAATGATTGAAACAGTACATTCATTAAAGCTGTATGAATGTCCCATTCTTCTTTTAAGAGAGCCATTTAACAATGCTTTTAAATATGTCTATTGGTAAAATACTTCACTAATCTATAATCATTTCAAATCTTTCCTTTTATTTTTCCTTTGATAAACAGCAAGAAAATTTAAGAAAAAATGATTACATTTTTGAAAAATACAAAAAAATGTAAAAAATAAAAATAAATGAAACAGAATTGAATATTTATAAGACACATCAGAGAAAAACATGGGAGTATACAGAGGGAGGATTATTTGTTCAAATAAAAATTTTTAAAACCTCTACATATGGGAGATAATATCCAATTGAAGTCAAAAGACAAAACAAGGGGCTAAAAAAATGTTTAGGCAATATGGCAAAATATTAAGGTTAGTATCTCTTTTATTAAAAAAAAAAAAAAAAAAAAAACTCTCAAAGAAATATATAAGAAAAACACCAAAAACAAATTATAGATTAAAAATATCGCCTTCGTTGGTTTGGCTCAGTGGATAGAGTGTGGGCCCATGGACTGAAGAGTCCTAGGTCAGATTCTGGTCAAGGGCACATACCTCAGTTACAGGCTCAATCCCTGGCCCTGGTCAGGGCTCATATGAGAGGCAACCAATCGATGTATCTCTCACACATCAATGTTTACCTATTTCTTCCCTCCTTTCCACTCTCTCTAAAAATCAATGGAAAAATATCCTCAGGCGAGGATTAACAACAACAACAATAACAACAAAATATTAATAATTGGCCTAATTGGGTAGCTCAGTTGGTTGAAGCGTCATCCGGATAAACCAGGGTTGTGGGTTCGATCCCTAATCAGGGCACATACAAGAATCACCAATGAATGGATAAATAAGTGTAACAACAAATCAATGTGTGTGTCTCTCTCTAAAAAGGCAATTAAAAAATTCCTTAAATATTAATAATTTATAGAACATGAATTATAAGAACACTAGTTGCCCAGTGCACAAAATTCGTGCAGGAGTGGAGGTTGTCCCTCAACCTGGCCTGTACCCTCTCCAATCTAGGAACCCTCGGAGATGTCCGACTGCTGGTTCAGGCCTGATCCCACAGGGACCACTGAATCCTAACCACTCACCTGCCTATCTGCCTGGCCACCCCAACCACTCTGCCTGTCAGCCTGCTCGCCCCCAACTGCCTCCCCGTGGCCTTCTCACCCCCAAATGTCCCCCCTTGCTGGCCTGCTCGCCTCCAACTGCCTTCCCCTACTGGCCTGATCTTCCCTAACCACCTCTGCCTTGGCCCCGCCACCATGGCTTTGTCTGGGATGTCTCCTAGTCTAATTAGCATATTACCTTTTATTAGTATAGATAATTTTTAACATTTAATTAGTGGGGAAATGCACAACTAAAAAAGGGGGGCATCACTTCCCCCAATTTAATTAAAAATTGTAGTATTCTTACCAACCCATTAAAAATTTAAAGTATTTGTATCTAAAAAGATAAAATTATTCCAGAAACAGTAATATTGTGTAACTAAGCTGAGCTAAGGTAAGGCTAATAAGAACATGCCCATTATATTTAAAGAATATAAAACTCCAAACTTCCAATAGAAGCCTCATAAATTAAAGTTATAATCAATGATATTTAATTGATATATATTAAAAGTATTTTTTACTTGTGATTAGTCTTATATTTGATGAGTTGATAAAAGAAATTTAGTTTTCCTTTCTTTCTGGAACGTCAGTTTTGTGCCTCAATACATTATATCTCTGAACTTTTGAACCCAAACATCTAAATATTCAACTTTTTCTTTACCTGAGAAATCACCTCTTCTATTTGGCCACCCTGAAGCCTGTCTTCTAATTTTTTCACATCTGGTTCCTATAATTTGAGGGGGGGGGAGGGGGGAAAAACACAGAAAAATATGTAAACACAATACTGAATGTTTCAATATCATATATTTTAAAAACTCATATAACAAAAAATGCACTTGCTATAACAAATGTAATTAATTTTTCTCTCATCGTACCCTTACTAATTTTTATCAAATAGTTGGTGGAAACTAATTTCATCTTTCTATTTTAATATTTTTCTATCTTAATATTATTAAACATGTACTGAGATGTTTTATCAAGAGTAAAAACAAAAAAATGATGCCTAATTCAGTCTTTCTAAAATACAGATTTTAAAATACCACTTTATTTTCTTAAGCAAAAGGAGTATGTGAGGTCAGAGGTCAGAAGAATAGTTATCTTTAGGAGGACAGTAACTTAGAGGAACAAGAGAGGATTTGGGGGTTCTGGAAATGCAGTGGCTCTAAGACGCGGGTGGGCCCAGCCAGGGATCAAGGGTCATGGAAGGACTCCCGGGCAGAGGAGCAAGGACCCTCACCCCTAAGGCGGGGGCTGGGAGGGGGGGGTTGAGTGGTGGTGCCACCTCAGTGGAGGGGTGCCACACTTCAGGGTACTGGACTGACTGATGTGAGTCAGAGAACTTCCCAGTGCTAACCTGCCTCGCTCAGGTGACCTTCACACTTCAGAAGCACTGACACCCGCTCCTGCCTTGACCCAAAAGCAATGTTAATTTCCCCGTTACAGACCTTACTCTACACAATTAAATCAATTCCACAATCACCAAGCTAAAAGTTCCAAATCAAATCGCACTGTTTTGTTGTACACCCAAGGAAACGATAAAAGTTCTTTACATTAGACTACTTATTGCATATATGTCAATGACTTCTGGGATCTATGAACACAATTCTGGGTAACTGCAAAAGTTCTTGAATTAAGTGCTAGCGTGGAAATATGATAATAGTGTAATATTGTTTGATATAAAAGAATCAATAGCGGTCTACCGTCTAGACTAAAGCCTTCAATTTGGAAGCTGTTACATGCTTATGTTAGTCTGCTCGGGATCCCTACAAAATACCATCGATTGGGTGGCATAAAAGCAACAGAAATTTACTTTCTCACAGTTCTGGCGACTGCAAGTCCAAGATCAAAGCCGGGCAGGGTAGGTTTCTTGTGAAAGCTATCTTCCTAGCCTGCAGATAGCCACCTTCTCACTGTGTGCTCATGTGGCTCTCTGATGTCTTCTTCTAAGGCCTCTAATTCTTCTGGATCAGAGTACCAGCTGTATCACCTCGTTAATCTTATGACTTTCATAGAGGTCCCAGCCACAGGAACCTCACAGGACTTCAACATATACATTCTAAGGGACACAAATATTCACTCCTTAAAATGCTCAATAAAACTTTTGTAGTTAAGGGACTAATTTGGTCCTCTCCTTTTTGCAACAAAGCACTTTTTAAGAGTTACTTCTGACAACACCCCTTTTTTTGTTTCATTTTCATTCTCTACTCTGAAACTAGAAAAAAAGGAAGAAGACTGACTGTTATCTATAGGTTAAAAATGAGAGATCAACAAAGGACTGGATAGAAAGGAGAGGTACAAGAAATAGGTACAGTGTTAACTTAGAAAAATGACTTGATCTTATAACTTTACTCCACCATTTATAGGGCCTTGCATATAGACAGCTCTCAGTAAACAGGTTTGATGAGTGAAAGAAAGAATGAAAAAAGAATAGAAATAAGAGGAAAGTGAGTAGAATATGTAAAAAATAAACAACTGCATTTTTGTTGTTGTTGTTAAATGTTGCATTGGAGACATAAATCCAAGTACGAAAAATTAAGTCAGCTAAAATATGTACACAGATATTAATTTAATAAAAAAATTAAAAAAAATTAAGTCAGCTACTTACCGCTTTAACCATGTCCAACCTCTCATTTGTAATCTCTTCTGTATATTTTCTATATGCTGCATTTTTAGGGATTTGCTCAAGAACATCAAGAATCTTTGTGTACAATAGTTTTAACCTCTGAAAAGACAAATCAGACAAATTTCTATTTTACAATACCACCAAAAATTAAAATGGAACACTTTAAAAAGTTTCACAGCTTAAAAAAAAACACAAAAAACCCCTCACAACTCTTTTAAAAAACAACAACAAACATTTAACTCTAGCTGTAATTTCTTCATGTCTATACACTGTCTATCTCTTTTACAATTTAAAGAAAATTGTTGTCGCACCGGATCAACAAAGTAGCTCAGTAGGATAGCCGAAACCGGTCTGGCCCAGTGGATGGAGCATCAGTCTGCGGACTGAAAGGTCCCAGGTTCGATTCCGGTCAAGGGCATGTACTTTGGTTGCGGGCACATCCCCAGTCGGGGGGTGCAGGAGGCAGCTGGTCGACGCTTCTCTCTCATCGATGTAAAACAATTAAGTACATAAATAAGGATGAAGAGCTCAGGAGGAGTTGTATTCGGGGCTGGATCGCCCCCATGCATTAACCTTCCGGGAAACAAGGTCGCAGGGCGGCAGTCGTCCTTGGGAACCAGGGGAGAGCGCAGGAACAGAGGCACCCACCTCGTGCGGAGTCTCGCAGACAGCCAGTCCCACAAGGCCGGTGGTCTGTGCAAAAACAAAGCGCGATGCGTGTTTCAAACCTCCGCGCCCACCACGCCGAGAAAAAGCAAACCCGCCGGTCCCGGGGGAAGACCGGCCTCCCCCAGCCACGGCCTCCCGACGCCGCCAGCTCCGAGCTTCCTTCTGCCCCCGCGGGCAGAGCAGACCGAGCGCCCCGCCCCGCCCCGCCGCGCCGCGCCGGCCCGCCGCCCGCCGAACCCGGGGCTGCCGGGCGGACCACCCCGCCGCGCGGACCCGGTGACCTCGGCCCCTCACCTTCTTCAGCAGGCTCGCCATGACAGCGCCGAGCGCCGAGCGCGCGCAGCCCTCTGGGAAGCTCGTTCAGACCCGCTCAATCCACCGCCGACGCCGCCGCTCCGTCACCTGGGAAACAGCGTGGCTCCGCCCCCTCAGGATCCCACCAATGCCCCGCCTGCGCCCAAAGGGGAAATTGACGCATGCGCAGTGAGTATACCGGCGTCTGCACCGGGCAGACCGGGACAGGGGTTTGTGTTAGGTGCCTTGCCTTCGGTTCCTGTCCCTTCCACCGCTGACGATGGCCCAACGGTTGAGGGAAATACTCCAAGCAGCTAATAATGAGAGTAGGCATTCTAGGAACCTGCACTCTGCTAGCCTTTGGCGAATTCCTTCCGGTCCCTGCACAGTGGGGTCAGTGCAATGAGGGTGGTGGTGGAGCTGTCCCAGTGGCCGCTGAGCTGCAGAGGTCAATTCCTGCAAGGATCCCAGCTTTCTCAGCACTTTGGGCCTCATCACTATGCGGTGTGCAGTTGCGTTTCCCATTGCAACCCCTTCTTCTCCCTTTCACTCCTTGAAGCACATAATCATTTTATCATTTCCCCAGGGGAAGTGATTCCAGATCCTAACCCCCCTTACCTCTGCAAACACTTACTAAGCACATGCTAGTTACTGGGACATCATTTGTAAGACGGGGTCTCACAGCCTGGAATTCACAGAACAATGATGAAAACACGCAATTCTAGGCAATGTGAGTGTTCCAAAAGAGTTTTGTACTAAGTGTAATGGTAGCAGGTAGAAGAGGAAATAACTAACCAAAAATTGCGGGTGACTCGAGTTAAAGAATATAAAGATTTATATTCTCTATTGTGATTTTTCTCTCATTAACTTTTTAGTAAATGCCTTCTTTTTGACTTTCAGCCCTGACCAGGAATCAAACCGGCAATCTTCTGGTGTACAGGACGACACCCAATCAACTGAGTCACACCAGCCAGGGTTCTGCTTTAGTTTTCTTCAGCCCTTATCACCTAATATGCTATCTAATTACCCTATATTGGATTTTTATATCATTCTTTCTAGAATATAAACAATATGTGAACGGAAATTATGTCCTACCATATCTCAGGTGCCTAAAATAATATCTGGTACATACTAGGCATTCAATACATATGTTTTTAGTAAATATGATAGGAAAAAAACAAAACAAAAGAAATTAATAGGCAATTGACAGAAATGGAAACAGGAACACTTGATAAACATAAAAAGGACGCAAGCTCTCTAATAATTAAGTAAATAGAAAATAATTATAATTTTATGGACAAAAATGAAAGACTGACAATACCAAGTGTTGGCAAGGAACACTCATACATTGCTTGTGGGAGTGGTCCAGTATAATCACTTTGGGGAATAATTTTACAAAAATTAGTTGAAGATATGTTAAAACCTATAACTGAGTGTTATGGGTTGAATTATGTCCACACTCAACTTCATATGTTGAAGTCCTAAATTCTACTACCTTTGGAATGTGAGCTTATTTGGAAATATGGTGATTGCAGATGTGATTTGTTGAGGTGAGGTCATTAGAGTGGGCCCTGTCCAAAATGACTGATATTCTTATAAGTGGGAAATTTTGGACAGGGAGGCATGCAAACAGGGAGAATGTCATGAAAAGATGAAGGCAGAGATCGGGATGATAATTCTACAAGCCAAGGAACACCAAAGATTGCAAAAACAAACAAACAAAAACCCACTAGAAATTAGGAGAGAAGCATGCAACAGATTCTTTCAGTCCTCAGGAAACTAACCCTGCTGACAACTTAATCTCAAACGTCTAGCCTTCAGTAGGTGAGTAACACTTTTATGCTATGTAAGCCACTCGGTTTTGTTACAGCAACCCTATAAACTAACCCTGGGTAATCTTTTGATCATATGCTCCTCTCTTCCATTTAGGATAGCTGTCTCTAAAAACATGAGCCATGGATATAACCTTTCCAGCTCATATTGCCCAGGAATTAGACTTTACCATAACGTTCATCATAATTTCCAAGTTCTAGTATTTAAATCATCCACAATGACAATTTTGGACAGAGGAGATATATATATTAGTATTAACAAATGTGCATGATGTATTATGGCAATTTAAAGATACACAAGTGCATGGATGTATATATAACACCCCACAAAATATATAACATACAAAATGTAAAGAAACTATGCAACTAGAACAAACCATCTGATATACCATTTGCTCCTACAAAGGTGACATACCTATTTGGACACAGTCGATTAGATACAGGACACCCCCTTAGGATTGTGAGGAAATACCCTGTTTTTCAAACCAGATAATGTTGAAATCATCACTGAAATTTAGATGAGCAGGAGTTTATGAGAAGGGCTCATTTCTCCAAAATTAACTAACTAGAAGTATTAGGACCTCTTACACTACTTTGTCATGGCACAAGGCTCTTTTGCGGAGGGCTGGATCTTACCCAAGTTGAAATGCTTCCCTGGACCGTACAGTTCCGGAGCTATGCTGAGGGGACCTTTACCTGAGGAAGGCATAGACCGAACGACTGAATAGGAAAAAAGCATTCCAATTTTCAGGGTATGAGGGCCTCATTCTGGATAATGGAGAGGGCATGAGTACCACCTTAGCCAGTTTCCCCTGAGCAGGAAGCAGAGGTGAAAGTAATGTCACTCAGGGAGTATTCTTTTCTCTCCCAAACTTGGAAACAAATAAAATCATTTGCTCAGGTTAGTTCTTAGGACAGACGGACATATTAAAATAGTAATAGTTTGGGTATTATCCACCTGTTGTGCCTCCATTCATATCAGGCATGTTCAAAACCATTTGAATTTTTTTCCTGTCTTCTTTGTCTATGCTCCATGGTCCATAACCAGATAAACGTGTTTCCTATATGATGGGTTTTAGAACCTTTCTAAATTGGGCTGTAACTCAGTTCATTTAAGGAGATGAAAACTATTTTATGAGACTAAAATAAAAAGTATTTATTTACATAAATGGTAATAATATACTTATACAATGGTAGTAAGATGATTATTTAAAAAATTCATACCTTCACAGTCCAGCCAGTGTTGCTCAGTGGTTGAGCGAGGATCCATAAACAAAGAGGTTGATTCCCAGTGACAAGGTGCTGGTGAGAAGGAAAGTGGTTTATTCAAGTGCCAGCAACTCAAAAAGATGGGTGACTCCTGTCTTCAAAAACCCATCTAACATTTCTGGTCAAGCCAATGATTGTTATAGGGAGATGGTAGGAATTTTGGAGGAGGGAGATTCCCAGAGGGAGTATAGACATGCAGTGTCTCTTGAGAAAAGCACATAGGAATAAAGCAAGAGGGCTGAAACGGAGTCACCACAGCTCCCACTCAGGCTTGTTCCCTTTGTCCTGATTCAAACAGCCATTGTGGTTTCACTGCCAGTGTCGGTGTTCTCCTTACTCCCAAAGTAGGCTGCTCAAATGCAATGAGAAGGTGGCCAGAGATGGAAACATAGGATTGATTTACAGACCTTCAGAAAACGTAGGGTTGATTATATACTTTGAGATAACACAGTCTACATAACATTGATGACTAGATTGGTAATATTAAATCAATGTTAAATCATGTTACAGTAGCTGCTGAAGTGTTGAGGTGCATGGCCATCCCCAATTCTCTAATGCAGTGCTTGATACATTTTTGGTTTGGCTACTAGTTGAGTTGCTTGACTCACTGAGCAGAGCAGATATCACAATGAGGCTTACCAGGCACAGGGGCAGCTCTGAGCTTGCTTCTGCTTTGGGCCATTTGAACAGGGGCTACTCTGTAGTGGGAAGACATTGCAAGCATGTCTCACCTCAGCATAGAAATGGGGAGGAATGGGGAGGGCAGTGACTCTACATGTAAACACACACACACACACACACACAACACACACACACACACACACACACACACACACACAAGCCTGAGAGGCCTCTAACATATAGTCAAGCCTGGCTGGGTTAAAATTATAGCTCTGCTTCTCACTAACTTTGTGACCTTGGGCAATTTACTTAACCTTGTAAGGAAGCTTTCCTCCTGGAAAAAAAGAAAAGGCCATGATAACATCACATCTACTTTGCAGGAATGCAGTGAGGATTAAATGTGAATTAAGGCATATACATGACCAGGACTGTATTACAGAGCATTATGCAATTTAGGAAATGTTGGCCCTCTCCAGGTTATACAACCCTTCACCAGGACACTTGTGTCAGTGAGCTGAGATGAAGCTGAATTTCAGCTCCCTGGCCCCTTCACCCAAGCATTCTCATTCAGGGTGCAACCTGCACAACTATGCACAGACATGGGGGGGGAGGAAGGGGAGAAGAGCTTAGCATAATGTGTGGTTATAACAAGAATTCAATAAATATTGGCCATTATTGTAATTATTAGGTGACAAACCACTCCAAAACACAGTGTTGAGGGTTAGTCGGAGACATACGGTTAAATTTGTTATGAAGAGAGAAGGATGGATTCACAATGCACACCTAAGTCTTAGAACACAGTTCAAATTGGAAAGCAACCCATTGGAGTCTATTCCTGTGTGACTCTCCTCCCACTAGGTGGCGCTGTCTTTCATGTAGGCACAGACTTCAGCTTGTTCGGGTAGAATCTACCTCCATTTAGAAATGGCTTCTACTTACTGATAACTCAGGCAATAGCCAGGTGGTGCCTGTAGCCCGGGGCTTTCTCAGTTCTTCGTGGGCGAGGAGGTAGGTGTTACTTCCTTCTCAGAGCACGGGGGTTGCACAGTATACTGAAACGCTGCTCCAAGAAATGATTCTCACCAGGAACTCCAGGAACTTCCTAACACATTGAATTTATATATATATATATATATATATATATATATATATATATATATATATATATATATATATATATATATATATCCTCAGTAACTAAATTACCAACTAACAGCATCATTTTACAGTTTGACCTCTTTGGGCGTTGTGACTGTCTGAGAGTGGAGGCAGGACAAGATAGTTCAGCTCTGCAGTTCT